ATGTGAAAATAGTACTCTCTCAAGCCCGTTTTCCTACAATGAGGCGGCTTCGAATAATTATAGACGTGGCTGTTAGAGTCATCGTCGTGTGGCTTTATAAATTTATTGAGAGTTGGGCCTGCTGGGGACAACATCACAGCTCGCCCAACTGCCGAACAAAACGGTGCGGGGTATATTTTATAACATTTCGTATTTTGTACAGTTGGACACGGCTCGATGTCGACCTCAACAATTATTCGTTCATCTAGAAAAATAAAATAAAAAGATCACACCCAATCATCATTATCAATCAATCCAGACGGGATAATCTGCGGATCAATCCCCCAGTTAGTCAAAGGCCAAAGCCATGGCCTCAACGATTTTAAATAACTTTTCCACACGTCACATCCCAGGGCTGATAATCGGCACCACCTTGACTTTCGGTGGTGCGATTCCATTCTTCAATCCTGCATACGCAATGCACGAATTCGGCCTGCCGCTCTACCTCGTAAAATCCAAAGACGCGCAGGATGCGTTTACGGTTTCTGCGATCCGTACGGTCGCTCTTGGGTTGTCGATTTACATGATGTTTGCCCAACGGATGTATCGAGGCGTCGATATTATGCTAGCTTGCATCGGAACCACTGGGATTTTGGACGGGTGGTTGTGCTGGAAGGTTGGCGTGCCTGGACGAGGAGTTTTCCGTGCTACCTGTGCGGTTTTGGTCGCCGGCTGGGGTTGGATGGGCTTGACTTCGGTGTAGATATTACATACGATACACATTCGCACTGGCATTTACTTGTGGTTTTTTTATGTTGGGCAAAACGTTATGCAGTTGTTTTCCTCAATTTTACATCGAGTGGTTGCATCGATTGTAGCATGTCGAGCTCGAAGTCACGATAATAAATTAAAATTAAAATTTACAACAGTTCGGAAGCCCAATTTTCGAAGCTAATATCTAATTATCGTTATCGATTCTCGTTAGACCGATCGATAGCTACCCGTGCCCCTCACACACGCTCCTGCTGATTTCGAAACCATGTGTTGGGGTGTCACAGCAGATGGGATATTACGCCACAGTTCCCTTGATCTCTACAAGAGCTGTTTTCAGGAACCGTATTTCTTGGACCTCCATGTTCTGTACTCGTTTGTTCTACACACGGTGTGTATCTTGTCATGGGTGGTGAGCTGCATGTATCCAGATAACCAGCTATCCATGAGCTGTTTGCAGCTATAGCTATCGAGTTTGGGAAAGCTACCCTGACATAGCTCCAAGCTTCGTAGGAAAAGGCAGGCGATGGATGAAAAAATTTGTCATAAGAGCTCTCTTATTCATGGCTTTCGACCGTTTTTCCCACTCTATTACCTAGGATCGAATCGATCGAAATATTCAATTGTCTTCCAGAATAAAGTTTCCTGATTTGTCTGTGCAAAGGGAAAAATTTTTCACATGGAAAAATTGAGTCAAATCAGTATGCTTAACGGAGCGAAAAACTCTGCTCCCCAGAATTATTTTTAACATGTCTCGGCTTAAGAAGGCAATCAAGCGCCCTCTTAAAAGTCCATTTTGGTGAAAAATTGACGCTCAACCTTATGAGGCGCTTCGTTACGATGGAGACTTTGTTTTAACGGCGGTGTTTAGGTCTCAGTGGAGTAAACTGTTCGTCGTCTAATACATCGTGGGATAATGAGCGAGTTCATATTCTTGAAAAACTTGGCTGCCATATGTGGACTTCACAAATTTTTTTACATGCTCAACTGTCTGGCATAATACAATATAGATGTCTACTGAACCGGCGGCAACATACTCGGGTCCTCGAAGGCTCAGCCGGTCTTTCCTTCGTGGCAAGGCAGCCGAGCCGTTTTCCCACCCGTTCCTGAAGATCAGTTATGGTCCACCCATGTTGGATTTTTGTCAGCGCTAGACGGCGAGAAGGAAGTCCAGAATTGAAAAAAAAAAAAACTTATTTGTGTTGAGAAATCGAGACGAGTTGGATTCGATTCGCCGTTAAGAAAACTTTTCCCTGACCCGTCGCGATCGACCGTAAACACTCGATTGAACATTCAAATCGAGTAAGAGATTCACATGCTGAATACTCCTCTTCAACAAAAAAACAATCGAGATACGAAAAAGCCATCCCGGTTCCCGGAAACAAAAGGCTGCAGCCAAAGATCACACATCTCGATCGGTTCCCAATTTAGGAAATTTACCAAAAAAAAATGAGACATGTGAAAAACGCTCCGTCCGCGCACGAGAGCGGTAGATATTCCCCCCCCGCGCGATGCATAAACGCCAAAGATCTATCCGTAGATTTTAAACACCCTTTATAAGAACTGCGCATATGCAGTTTCAGCAGATGCATGTTAAGATCACGTTGTGATAGTGCTATCAACCGCATTTCCTGATACGTCTGTAGTCTAGTGCGGGCCGAATAAATTCCTTAGTTTGACGGAAACAACTATCTTGGGATTAGGGATCACACTGGTTGACTTCCCAAGAGGGTAGTCTACAGATCGCATTAACCCTTCAGGGAAAGAGAAACGTGATATTGTGGGCTAAATTAGGAGAGACTACTAGAAAGGACGTCACATTGCATTTGGTTGTGTTGTGATGTTAGATTGGGGCCTAAAGAGACATGAAGAGGTCTCAACGATACCAATGGTCACGACAAGTCCCGGCATATATATCAAGATCTTAAGACGAGGAACTAAAATAGGGGGACCTGAAAAGAAGCCCAGAAATTTGGCGTCCGAACAGCAACTTCGAGACCCGCGAACCGGCTCATATCAATACTTTACTTAATGAGAATCTAGAAATTCACATCTAAGGTACTCCGATTTGCTCATGCAAACATAGGCATTATATTAGCATGTTCTCGTTTCATATATTAGCCGAAGAGCCCAGCGGCTGGACGGTTCCGCATAGGCGAGTCTCCGGCTTGGTAGCACAGAATCCATTTTTAAGGCTGCAACTTGTGGAGAAAGGAGAATATCTTACGATCTTAACGTTAATATAACGTTAAGTTGATATGGTCTCGCTGTTGATATCGAGTTTTTTAGGCCTCTCAGCTGGAGGGCATTTAGCCAGCTTTGGGTCTTGGTATGATTTCGAGGTATTTTCGTTCAGGAGTGATTCATTCTAAAATATGAAGTTGCAATTGGAATGGAATTATATAAATATAAATACCGATCTGAATATCGAATCTAAGTTACGAGCTGTATGCCAATAAACACACCTAGGTACCTTCGGACCCTCGATAATTAACATAGACTACTCAAACCTCCAAAAACTCCAAAAACTCAAAATGCACATCGCGACTGTTGCACTCATATCCGCCATCGTCGGCCAAGCAGTCGCACAACTACCCATCTCGGACGGATTAGTACGCACTCTACAACTCCATCCCACCTAATTCCCACCCCCACCCCTCTCCGTATAAATTGATAAAACAAGCACCCGAATAAAAAAGTAACTAACCAAACCCAAATCAACAGTGCGGTGGAATCCGCTGGCAACTGCGCACATCCTGCCTCCCGGGATCAACCTGCACCACCATAAACGCCTACAACTCGTACTGTACCAAAATCCCAAGCCCCGTGAGCCCACGGGATGAGCCGCCTACTACTACGTTCACGCCGACCGCGACGGCCACGGAGTTGGATTGCGAGACGACCTTGACGACGTGCACGACGTTGTTGGTGTGTCCCAGGGGTTCGACGAGGACGTGTAAGGAGTGGTGTGATGGGATGCCGAAACCGACGTTTTCGCCGTTGGTTGTGCCGTGTAGTTTTGGGAGCAATCCTCCGGTTACTACGACGGCTGGTTAGACGCCGTTAATCTTTTATTGAGGGGTGGGGCGGTGGGTGTCTAAAAGTTCGATTTTCGGCTTGTGTTGGTTTTGTGGCATTTTAGGAGGCGCCGAGGACGCTGTGCTTGTGTTCTTTGAGGATGTTTTCACAAGTATTAAAAGTACTTAGTATCTATCTAACTGTGGTATATCTATGAGCCTCATATATTAATATATTTCTGGCCAATAGCTGGGAACGAGACCAGCCAATAGTATTCTCTTTCCTTTTAAACAAATTGTATTTTTAAAACTGTATCGCTATCTTGCCCTCAATGCAATGCGTTGATTCCGCCATCGATACATTAAAATCTAGATTCTACAAACCGAACACTTCTCCGTTGATTGGTTGTTTTAATCAACTGTACTAACATCCATATCTCTAGATTTGCGGACAGCTATCGTGCTATCTGAAACATACATCCTTTATGCAAGAAAAACCGGCCACCGAATCATTCCTACCGATTCCCTTTCCCATAAACTTGAATCCTCAAGCAGAAAAGAATTTTTTAGACTTGATAAAAAATAATCGCATTATCTGTGCCGAAGTTTCATGGGTGGGTAGGTGGTTTATGCGCCCCCCGGCCTCGCCATCAAGTGTCTGTCGCTATTTATATTTATATGGAAGCGCTTGTGCGCTGTGCTACCTGTGCGGATTTCTAAAATAATGAGTGGATCTGGTTTTGCGGTTTATCGCGCCATGGAGGAATGGCTTTGCGCAATTGCTGCCGTAGCTATCTTTGGCTCTATGCGCTGGCTTGAGCTCGAGACTATACGTATATAAAAATTTATATGGTGTAAACGAAATGCCTGGATATTTCATGACAATCTAGATTTTTTTTTGAAAATTGAATATAGACAATTGAGAATTGGTAGACCTTTGACACAGCATCGTAACAAACCTTTGAACCCCTCCAATTCCAACCAAACGGCCCCTCCATAAAAAAAAATTCTAGAAAACCGACGGTGAAAACGTGGTAAATACCAAATCGAAGCTCTAAATCCAATCCCTGCACGTGGCCTTGATCGGCCCGATTTGCCCTAACTTCCCCCACGCAATAGCGTTACATCTTCCACCAAAAACGCCACGTTAAAAAGGGAAGAATCTTGCCAATCAAGAACTCTAAATGGAAACCAAAAAAAAATAGCAAAAAAGAAGCTCGCGCATCCTGTGGATGCTCCCATACGGATTTGAACCGTAGACCTCGACATTACTAGTGTCGCGCTCTACCAACTGAGCTATAGGAGCTACTTGGGATGGAGGAGTGTGATTTGGAGTGTGTATTTCCGTTCTCACGGTGTAGAGGAAGTGGTTGGTTAATGGGGTGGATGTCAATTGATCGGGGAACTGTTTAAAAATTCGCGGTTTGGGTGATTCTGGACATCGAGATGGGGGAGTGAATGGTTTTTCAGGGTTCCTGTGTCGGCCGGAGTAACTCGACCGCGTCCACGACGGAGTGTTCTGCTGTGTTACCAACGACGTCCAACACATTTCCACTCCCAAGTTCCTTCCGTATACCTTCACCATAAAACCCCACAGCCTCGCGCCTCGAAAAGCATCAACAATGTTATAACCAAAAAAAGTGCATCCCAAAATGCGCCAAAGATTCAGAGCCCCCCGGGGTAACCTCTGGAAACCATCTACCCCCCCAATCCGATCCCAGCCCACCCTCCGCGTCCTCTCCCTCCCGCAAAGCGACTACTCACAAGTCTCAAAACTCCAATCCATCCTCTTCAACCTCCACCTCCTCCACAAATCCTCACAAAACACCCAAACCCCCATCCGCCAACCCCCACCGTTTCTCATCACTACTTCTTTTCACCCGATATACACCTTCGGCCGACGGGAGGCCTCCAGAACCCCGCCGGAGGCCGTAAAACAGCTGTTATCGGAAAATAAAGCGTCGGTGGCGTATACCCCCCGCGGCGGACAGGTGACCTTCCACGGACCGGGGCAAATAGTCGCATACCCCATCATCGATCTAAAACAACATGGTTTATCGCCCAGATGCTACATACGCGCTTTGGAAAATGCGGTGATACGGGTGTTGGAGCAGTTTGCTATTAGGGCGTTTACGACCGAGGAGGCTGGGGTGTGGGTTAGGGATGATAGGAAGGTGGCGAGTATTGGGGTTAATCTGAGGAGGTGGGTTAGTAGTCATGGGTTGGCGTTGAATGTTGATACGGATCTTGAGTGGTTTAAGAAGATTGTGGCGTGTGGATTGGAGGGGGTGGAGATGTGGTCTATGAAGCGGGAGTGGGAGGAGTTGGAAGGTGGTGATCCGGTTACGGGGGAGGGGGTTTTGGTGAGGGGATCTCGTGAGATGGCTGCGAAGGAGAACTTGAGTGCTGTGGATGGGAAGGTGTTTAAGAGGAAGATTGTGAAGGCTGTTGTTGCTGAAATAATGCGGGAGATAGGGTGTCGGGATTCTTCACCGATTACTGTTGAAGAGGTTGAGGAGTTGGGGAGGGAGTATGGACTCTCCGGGGAGGATGGGGTGGAGTTTTACAAGTTCTGGCGGGATAAGGGGTTGTATGTTAGGGAGAAGGGTGGGATTCCAGAAGTCGATGATGAGAACCTTGTTCCCGAAGAGTTGAAGGAGACAGTGGAGGGGAGTGGTGTTCCTGACAACAGCGACAGCGACACGGATCCTGATGAAGGTGCGCCCCTTTTCCTTACACGCCGCCGTCGAGGTTGGGACTATCTCTGAAGTTTAAGAAGCTAAAATCCAGTAAGCTCCTCGAACACTTTAGGGCCTGAAATATAGGCTCTTGTCGGGCGATCGGGACCGAGAGCTTGATTCTTGGTCCCGCCGTCCAACTCAGGGTCCCAATCTATGCATAAAAGACATCGTAGAAACACTCTCAAAAGATACGAGAGTATAACGGTGACTACGATTCATTCCCTTGGATGAGGAAATTCACAGGAATGAACCGCATAGACCAATGACTGGCCTTTGAGGTAACTGACGGCTTTGGCCCCAAATGGCATCTTGTGAGAGCCAATTGTGAGGAACATGAGTTCTTTGATATTCTGGGCGAAGTGCCACTCACACCACTTAAAAAGCCGCCTAGTGGATGATAACAGAGATAAGGTCAAGTCGCATTGTACGGTAATAGCAGCGATGACATATTTGTGCATATGTGCGCATTAATTCTAGCTTTATGGCGTTGATATAATAGTACAACATATATAGCATTGACACCAGGCACTCAGGGCTACAGGCCTATTAGACACTGGTCAAAGCTCACTGAATTGTGGCAGTTTACATTTTCATATTCTAAACGTTTTGTCCTAAACAGAGCCGTGTGATTTATTGAAGAATCAATTGAAGCGTGTACTGGACTAAAGTTACATCCAGCCGGGCCCTGCAGCTGGATCATTCCTAATATACCTCGTAGGGAGGACCTCATAAACCTACCATCCGGCAAGAAACCGTCAACATGTATAAAGACAGCATCGCCTTTCACCAGCACAGCACCCTCAAATTCGAACACCATTAACAGCCTCCTCCTCATCCGGCAACCCCCAATCCTCAACACCCCCCTTCCAATCCGCAATCTTCCCACCTTCAAGCTCAACAACGACAAATACACTCCCTTCCTCTCCCTCAACATAACACTTCGCACCTTCGAATTTATTAGCCTCCTTATGCACGCTCTTATAATACTCCTCCTCATCACTCCCGGTCTCCAAGATCTTTGCGTTACCCCGGATGGTATGCGAATAACTCTGCAACTCGCTGCTGTTGATGTTCTGCAAAAACTGTGCTAGCGGGGAGAGACTAGTCGTAACGGGGCTGGAAGGACCGGAGGCGGTGGGAGGGCGTTGGGAGACCCAGTCGTGGACGAGGAGGGAGACTTGTGGGTTTGATTTTATGTTGTTGAGTTTTTTGGTGGTGGTTGGGGAGAGGAGCATGATGATTACGCCTGGGCCGGAGGTGGAGGAGATGGCGGTTGGGAGGGCGGTGTTGGTGAAGGTCTTTGTGGGGGGGATGTAGGTGAAGTTCATCAGGGCGATGTGGGGGCGGAGGGTGGAGGTGCATGTTGCCAGGTGGAGCTGTAGGCCACATTATCATTAGTAACCGTATTGACACGATAGAAAGACGTAAATGGTGTTATTGAACAGGGTATCCAATCATGAAGCTGGGAAAGGGAAGGAGAGGAGGAGGGAGAGGGGTATGCTTACGAAACGGGCATTGTTGAGGCACGATAGGACCTCTGGTGGGAGCTGGCCTTCGTAGACGCGTTGGGTTGGAGGAGCCATTTTCGCCTTTGATGTCGTAATTGATACAGCCTTTTGCTGGATACTTATCAATGGTATTTATCGAGGATTGGTTTATCCTATCGGTGATGAAGCTGAGGATGGTGATAGTGATATCGGTATCAGCAGTGATACGATACGAAGGGGTGGATGACAGAGGGGATTTAAAGTGATCTGTAATCCGAAGGCAACCGCCCTCCTGCTGCTGTTGTTATCTCTCGTTCCGGCCAGACCGCCAAGCGTTGTACGTCCTGACGACCCGGTTCTAGGTCCGTCGACTGTCGCACACGGCACCACGCCAACTTGTAGTTTCGAGGCCCCGTTGATTTATAGACACTCCATAATTCTTGTGTATCTCTCTAAGAACTATCACCACGACCTCGATAGGTACCTCATATCAATTGAACTCTCGTTAGATTAGATATCGGATTAGATCGATCAGATAACAGGCGCACGACGTCATTCCCAACACAGCCAGGTCCGAGCGACCAACTAGCGTGTTTGCTTGGTTAAGCTTCCCCACAGCCGCCTCAATTGGACCACCTGCCCAAACGGACTTCCCCAGATTATTCCCCCTCCTCAGCTCTAGACCTTCTTCGAACTCCCCTCCTTCAACATTCCTCCATCCTCTTCCTCTTCTTCCCCTTTTCCTTTCCTACCATAGAATAAAATAATAAATAAACCATCACAATGTTCCGTCCTACCCTCCGCCCGCTCTCCCGCCGTCTGATTACCCCATCTTCAACCCCCTTCGTCCGTCCCTTGTCCATCACAACTCCACTCCAAAGCAAAACCCCCACAACCACCACCCCCTCGATCGGTCAACTCCCCGCAGACTCAACCACACAATTCGAAGCCAACCTCGCCGCCTTCCGCGAAAAACAGGCAGCGCAGCAGGAAGCATCCCGTCAAAAGGCCGCAGAAGCAGCAGCCGCAGCTCGAGCCGCCACCATCGATCCGAATCCCGATGCCGCCGCTGCAGCAGCTGCTGCGGGGGCCGAAGGAGGGCCGGATATTAAAACCGGGGGGGTTTTTTCAAAGCTACTCCATGGATCTAGTGAGGCTCAGCATGATACTTATCAGATACAGGAGTCGTTTTCGAAGGTTCTGGCTAGGGGGAAGTATGTGCACGAACTGGTGTTTCATCGGGTGAGGCCGGATAAGGTTGATGAGTACGTGGAGCTTATTGGGAATGAATACCCGCGGGTGGCGAATGATCCCCGGGCTGAGGTTAAACTCGTTGGGAGCTGGAATACAGAGATCGGGGAGGGGGATACCTTTTGTAAGTTTTCACTATTTTCACAACTATATTTCATGTGGAAATTGTTAATGTGATGGGTTGAAAGTGCATATTTGGGAATACAACGGCTACTCGGGATACCACTCAACCCAACGCTACCTCGACGGCCTGCCGCAGACTAAATCCTACAAGAAGGAGGTACGAAAGTACCTCCAATCCCGCTCCAACTCCCTCGCTCAGGAGTTCTCGTTCTGGCCTACCACCCCACCGCGGTCGTTGGGGGGCGTATTCGAGCTCCGGTCGTATACTTTACACCCGGGGAATCTGTTAGAGTGGGAGACCCACTGGAGACGCGGATTGGTCGCGAGGCAGAGTCAGGGTATGGAAGGTGTCGGGGCGTGGTTCACACAGATCGGTGGGTTGAATGAAGTGCACTACCTCTGGCAGTTTGGAGACTTGAGGGGACGGCAGATATTGAGAGAGAAGAGTTGGCAGGCGGAGTAAGTTCTTTTCCCCATCTTTTTAGGTTATTTGTGGAGTTGCTGATGTTGGGTTAGGGGGTGGGCGGATACGGTGCATAAAACTATTCCATTGATTGCGAAGATGCAGTCTAAGATTCTGCTACCGCTCCCCTGGTCGCCTGTTAAATAAACGGGGTTCGAAAGGGAGTGTATTAAACTACAAATACGTCATCACACCATCAATTGTTTTGCTTCATCATTGTATATCCAAATTCTGCAAACAG